AAGTTCCCAAAGAACCAAATCCATTTTTTTTTTTTTTTAAAAAAAAAAAAAAAAAGAAAGAGCCTTCCTAATTTTCATACCTGCTCCTATAACTTGATATACAAAATTTTCAAAATTTATCTAAAGGAAACAAATGATAAAGACATTATTAATACTTAAACACACTCTCAACGTAATTGCATTTCCTTTAATAAATCTTGGGTTGTCCTCTGGAGGTGACCTGTCCCATATAAAAGAGGGTATGGTCCCTTGGGTTTGCCAGCATAAGAGGTACTGCATGTGTGAGAGCATTTATTGAACACACAGTTAAACACTTCTGAAGTCTACCACAAAATTAAGTTACTGGTGTTCTGACAATGTCCTCAACTTCTCTTTTGATACAAATGTCAAAAATCTAAAATGACGATTCATGTTCAGAAGTGTTATAAAATATAAGAAACCTTTGAAAAGCTATTACCTCAAGATCAAGAGTTATCTGAATCACTGACATCAAGCAAATAAAATTTATACCATAAAAAAGTGGGAAAAGTCTTTAAATCCGCTTTTAAGACTGTCAGTAGTTCAGAACCTCTATCATTTCTTTAAACCAGCTAACATTTCCAATTGTGTAGAGACAGTAAGATCTGCTGTGTATATAAATCCATGATCACTATTTCAGAGGCTTCATTTCTTACACACTGTGTTCCTTTAAGTATTGGACAATTAGTGCCTACAAAGTCTATCCTGGAGAACAGTTTAGACAGGACGGTATAATAATGGCCCCTGTTAACACACTGATAAAATAGATAGACTGACACTTTCTACACAGCAATGCTCTTAAACTTTCATAGTTCACAAATACTAAATCATCAACCGAGAATCTGATCTCTCCAGTAACTAAATGCCAGCACTGTAAACCATCAAAACTAGCAGTAGTCCCAGTAAGTTCAGTAAAGAATCTGCCCAATTATTTTTGTCACCTGCCTCTGCGAGGCACAGGCTTGCCCCATACAGCCAGGGCAGGGAAAACGCCTCTCCCTGTTTTTGTGTCCACCCTAGGAGCTAGTAAGTAGAAAGCATGGTGTGTATGCATGTGCTGACTAAATGGGGTTGGGAGGTGAGGTGGAGGGGAAAGCAGAAATACAAAGAATTGTAGTTCTCCCACTATTATATAAACTTTTAGAGGTCACTAAAATTAAGGTAGTGACTAACAAATACGGTAACACAGGAAGTCTCTCCCAAGGTGGTACACACATTCCTACAGAAGGGCAGAGATAAACAGTGAATAAAGAATCAATACCTGCATACATCATCTAACAGGTTCAGTACAATTGACAACTTTCTCTTTTCTTCTGAAACTTCCTCTTCTAAGCCTTGATTATCAGTATACATGTTACAAACTGTGCAAAGTTTCTTTCCCTGATCTCCTGTCGGTAACTATGGTCTTTGCTGTATGTGGAAGGTGCTCAAGGCTAGATGCAAAATATGTATTTTAAAAAAGGTGAAAAAAATTTGCACTCAGGACAAGTTTGGATACCCAAATTCATACCTCAAATCGAGAGAGTCCTGAAACAGAAGCATGCAAGAGAACACGCCAGCGTAAGACGTTGTTTCCGAGTAGTTTACGTGTAAGTGCTGCAGTCCTACAATCAGTTATAGTAATTCACCCGTCAAAATTGGCCTAACTTGTGTAAATAACACTATGTACAAGAGCATTCCTGAGGTAAGTAAGAATCAGATGAGTGGACAGAACCCGGAAGGTTCTGCCAGGGAAACTGTTCATTATTATAGACATCAATCACTTTCCACAGACGAGGCCAGCTAGCTCTCATCTACCCTGGGGCTCTGTTGCTAGCCTAAGTTTTAAAGGTTGTATTTTAGCCCATCCCAACTCTAACTGACAACAGTGACTTCTGAAAGAAGCATTTGCGGACCAAATAAAAGTTACACCAACTTTTTAACATAAAACACCTTGTGGACTTAGTTACCTTCAGCCTTTCGTTTAGCTTTCTGACTCTAGCTCTAGCTCTCTTTTAATGACATTCAAACAACTTCTAGGTCAGACAAATTAAGAGTGAAGAAGGCATACACCTAAGCAAACGATGCTAACTGCTTCTGTCTTTATAACCTTGATCTTTGTTTTCAAAATGACTTTTAAAAATAGGCATTTTGAATGTTTTCTTTAAAACCTGGCCGTCATCTTTTCTTAATCATCATTTCCCCTTACAAGTAAGCAGAAATGGATTTGAATTTTCCACACAGTTCTTAGAAAGACACTTAGATGCTACTCAAAAGCTAAGCTATAGATCATTAACAAAACAAGTAAAAGCTACAAAAATAATCTTTGTCAGGAATTAAATACATATATTAAATACTGGACAGTGCAAAACGTTGAGATGAAGCATAAAAGGTAATGGCTGCAACCCTTACACAGGTGTGGATAGATGGCCGACATTTCCTGAGTTATATACTTGGGGGCGTATAATTAGAATCGGGGTGCTCTTTGCTCGTCAAGCTGCTGTGGCTGGGCTCCTGCTGCTCAGGACTGGCTTGTGGGTCGGCAGCAGTCCATGACTCACTGTCCACCGCAGGCTCCAGCACCTCGGGCGTCTCTGCTTCTTCTTCTCCACTCTGCTCTACATTGTCTTCCTCAGAACCATTGAGGGTTTTTCCAAGCTGGAGGGTCTCCATAGTTCTCTGGGTCTCTGAGACCCAAGACTCAATTCTACTATTGAGCTGTACTTCTACAGATATGGGTTCATGAGTATAATCTTCTTCCTCCTCCTCATCTTCATCATCCTCTTCCTCGAGCATGCCAGGTACAAGAGTGCTAGTGGTGCTGGTGATGGAGGAATTCAAAAGGTCTCGGCAACTGCCATCCAAAGAGCCGGTCTCTGTGCTCTGCTGTGAGGCCCACTCCAGGTCGTCAGGTTTTACTTCCTCTTTATCACTCGCTGTCGACTTCCCAGGGTTTGGAGCTGAGGTAGTACTGCCTGCAGCCACTGACGAAGGCTGCTTAGCAATGGGGGTGGTTTCAAATGGAAGTTTACTGGGTTTTTCAGAAATGCTGTGTTTACAGGAAACCTCTCTCTCATTTTCTGACGTTTCCAGTCCATCTGAAGTTTCTACCATGTTTCTCCAATTTGTTTCTACAAATATCAAACAGATGGTTTAAAAACCAGAACACTATTTCAGAATCATGCAACTCTTAAAAGCCTTGAAATAACAGGGAAGACCAAAATACAGAAATTTGTACTGAAAATTTCTTAGTTCAGCAACATATGAGAAATGCTAAAAATTTAGTTTATTCAAGTATTGGTTTAAATGTTATAAAGAAAAAAAATTCTCAAAAATGTGTATTCAAGGTAAAAAACCAAGGAAGCAAAAATTAGTATAGTAATGCTCAGAAAGCAAAGTCTCCTTCCAAAAGAAGCTCATTGACATTCATATATCAAATCCATATAGTCATGAAAATCAACCAGTTGTCTAAATTTTCTGTTGTCTGGAGTTGTACTGTGCTCAAAGGCCCAGAATTCACATATGGTGGAACTGAGATGTCCAGTAAGGGCCCAGCAGGTGGTGTAGTGGTTAAGGAGCTAGACTTCCACACGGTCGACACTTGGACCCAGAGGCTTAAAACTCATGCCAAGGATGTGTGTGTGCCCCAAATCCCAAGTGGAGAATGGAGAAGGGACTGCAGTGTGGCCATTCCCCTGCAGGGTAGTTTCCCACTTCCTCTTTCTTTCTCTATGTCTCCAGCGAGTGTACATATCCTCTAGCAAAAATCTCTTTAAAGAAGATGTCCAGCAAAATAGCCAATTTCATGGGTTTGTACCATCCTCACTCAGTGAGTTACCTCAGGTAAATTTTGGTTTATAAATGGATATGTTCCTATTTGTAAGAAACAAATCTATCCACACATTTCTAACACTGGTGAAAATTTGTTTTATAATATATTTAGCTGAGCTTCTAAGTGATTTTAGAGGTAAAAAAAAGTTACTGTATTACATAATGGAATTGTGAACATCTAAAAATGTTTTTAATGATTAAAAAATCAATTTACAGCAAAATATGTAGGAATCAGTAGAGAAAACACAGCTCTCTCAATCATTTTTAAAAAGAATTATTTATTTAATTTTATGTATTCATTCATTTCAATTCAACCAGAGAAAGACAGACACACAGAGAGAAGAAAAGTGAGAAAGCAAGCCATCGGGTCCAGGACTCGAACTGTGGTTAGCCACATGGGAGTGTCCAGCTCCTTAACCACCATGCTACCTGCTGGCCCCTCACCCATTTTTTTAAAAGTAAAAATTCTATTTTATTTCTATTACAATTACCATTTACTTTAAAATTTATTATTCTTACCAAGGTGTAGTAAAATAAGCAAACCTACTTATGTTAATAAATTAACCTTGATTATCACCCATGGACTATTTTTTTTTAAATTTTTTTTTGGAGAGGTTTTTGCTATAGGGCACGTGTGCTGACCAGGCAGAAGAGAGAGACATAGAGACAGAAAGCGAAAAATCACCCCCCAGGGGGGATGGTCATGCTGCAATCCCTTCTCCTCCGTTCTCCTCTCAGGATCTTGGGCACACACGCACAAGCGCCCAGCGTGAGTTTTAAGCCACCAGGTCTGGGACATGAACTGTGGTCGACTACGTGGGAGTCCAGCAACATAGCCATTACGCTAACTGCTGGTCTCCCACCCATGGACTATATATTGATACGGGTCACATTTCAAGTACCTCAACTCAAGTCAGGACACGTGGCTTAGGAAAAAAAAAAACCTTCTTTCCTTTTTTTTCTGTAGTTTATTATTTTAAGGTTTTTGCCACAGGGTATGTGCACTCACCAGAGAGAGAGAGAGAGAGAGAGAAAGTGACAAGTCACCCCCCCACCTCGAGATGATGGCCACGCTGCAATCCCTTCCCCATCTTCCTCTTGAGGTTCTGGGAATGCATACACACATGCCTGGTGTGATTTTCAAGCAGGTCTGGCATTCAAACTGCTGTTGACCATGTGGGACTCCAGCGTCTTAACCAGCATACCACCTGTTGGCCCCAGGAGAAAACTTTCTTTCCTGGGTCCTTCCCACTCTCATTCTTATCTCAATTCTCAGTGAATGATATTATCATTTACTAGTTTCAAAGCAGAAGAAACCTCACAGTAACCCTTGATTCTGTGTTTCTCCCTTACCCTCCTCCTTTTCCTCCCTCCACACACGATGTCACATCTAAAACTCCTAAATGTGCTGACTACTGCCTTAGCCTCATTCCTCCTCTTTCTTGCTGCACATTTGCAGAAATGTCCTACCTGGTTTTCTGAACCGATGATGTCATTGTCTTACTAGCTTTCTATCACTGTGGGGCAGGATCTGAACTCAGCTCAGCACAGCCAAGCCCTTCACGATCTGCCTCTTATTTGTCTTTCTGGTCCCATTTCACATGTTCGGCTATGTACTCCGTGCTCGGTGTCACTCTGAATCCTCACTGCTCCCTGAAGTCACAGCATAAGCTGTTCTTCCTGCATGAGATGTTCTTCTCCTTTACTCCTTAGACTCCTACTCATCCTTGATAACTATTTTTTTTTTCCATTTTTTTTTTCTGGCCTTAGGGCACATGGAGGAGAAAGAGACAGACACAGTGAGAGGGAAAGTGAGAAATCACCCCCCACGGAGATGGCCATGCCGCAACCCCCTTTCCTTCATTCTCCTCCTGGGATCTTGGGCATGCACGTACATGCACCAGCATGATTTTCAAGCCACTGGGTCTGGGACTCGAGCTGCTGTTGGCCACGTGGGATCCAGTGATGTAACTACTATACCATCTGCTGGTCCTGATAACTTCCCTTAAATGTCAGTTCTTTTGTGAAGTCTTTTCTGACTTTCAGAGTCACTAACCTAAAGGCCCAAAGCAATTTTTACATACACAGTTCAAAAGTACCTGCTTTGAGTTTGGTGCCCCAGCCCCACATCCCTCCTCATTCCCACTCCAGATCATTTCTGTGTCTCTCTGGTTAGCATATAGTAAGCGCTGGGGAAAAGCCTATTAAATGAACATTTTCATACATAAATTATACAAAAAGAAACATTTAAAAAGGCATAAAGTTTTAACAAATTTGGGGCCAGCAGGTGGCATGTGGTTTGGGCGCTAGATTCCTACATGGCTGACCAAAGATCAAGTCCTGAACCCAGCGGCTTGAGATTCAAGCGGGGTGCATGTGTGTGCATACCCAAAATCCTGACAAGAGAATGGAGAAGAGATTGTACTGTTACAGCATGGCCATCCTCCCTGGGGAATGATTTCTGTCTTTCCCTCTCTGTCTCTCTCTGGGAAGTACACACACCTATGGCAAAAACAAAAACAAAAACAAATTTTAGATACACATTTATATTTCCTTCTAACAGTTTTCTTTTAAAGAGAAATCTCAGGCCCAGAGATTAATCAATTACACCCAAACTAATAGGCAGAGTGTGAAAAAAATAAGGCTTCAAATGATAACACTTTAAATCTGGAGCTTTTCAAAATATCTCCTAAATCTTCGTAAGTTTCTTTTCCTTTTTAAATTTTTTTTTTTTTGGTCAGAGGGCACATCCAACTCATCAAGAGAGACAAAAAGAGGAAGAGAAAGCACCCCAATGGGACATGACCACACTACAATCCCTTTTCCTCCATTTCACCATCCTGTCAGGATTTTAGACACACAAGCACATGTGCCTGGAGTGTTTTTCAAACCACTGGGACTGATTCAAGTCAGCTATGTGGGATTCAGTTCCCTTAGCCATGAGGCCACAGGCAAGCCCCTTATTACTTTTTAATCACGTGCCCATGTGAAGATCATTTGTCACTCTGTCATTGTCTTTGGCCACAGCTATATGGATTTATTTTGCAATTTACTTTGAAATCTGGCATTCCGTTACAGAGAGGATTGATCTCATTTACGAAGTTAGTACTTTATCTATTTATTTTCAATTAGTACCACACTGGCCAAAGAAACACGTGTGTCTCTAGGCCAGAAGCACCTACCCATGACCAACAGTTTCCTAGAGGCCCACAACTATATGTTGATTGACTTGGATCTGGAGACAGCAAAAAATACTCCAAACATTTAAAAACAATCATAGATAGAGAGACCAAAAAAGGGAGTGTGGGAAGAAAATAGGGACTCAGGTTTTATATGCTAAATTTTAGATGGCAATAAGCTGTAAAACTCTCAGGAGGTAGCTACTCTATTTTTTAAAAAAGAAAAGAAAGATGGCATAATGGTTATGTTGCTGGACTCGCACGTAGTTGACTATCGTTTGAGTCCTGGGCTCGATGGCTTAAAACTCACACCAGGTGCATGTTTGTGAATGCCCAAAATCCCTAGAGGAGAAGGGAAGAGAAGGGATGGCAGCATGGTCATCTCCCCTGGGGGGTGATGTTTTACTTTCTGTCTCTCTGTCTCCATCTCTGCAAGCACATGTGCCCTACATCTCAGAAAAAGGGAAAGATAAATCAGAAAGTAGATGAAGAAAGAGGAGAACTTAAGAGATCAAAGTATCACAGAAACAAGGCAATGAAATTTCTAATATGTAGACTACAGTAATGTTAAACATTAAACATATATACTGTTGTTTAGTCTGTATTTCTTTTGACTACAACAACTGAAAGCAAAGGTCACATGATTACACACCTTATAAATTCAGGATGAACAGTAATCCAATCTTTAGTTTACTTAGTAAATGTAAAATTTTAATAACTGAATAAAATATTAGAAAAAATTTCCTATTTAATCAGTGATAGGTCACAAGTAGGGTACATTTGGTCTTTTAAATCCTCTTGGGCTTTGTTTTTTTCCCAAGGTTTTGGCCATAGGGCGTGTCTATTTGCCAGAGAGGGGGGGGGAGTGAGAAATCATCTCCCAAGGCCATGCTACAATCCCTTCTCCTCTATTCTCCTCTCTGGATTTTGCTCATGCATAAACATGTGCCTAGTCTGGTTTTCAACTACGTCCATGACTCGAATCGTAGTTGGCTATGTGGGAATCTAGCATCTTAACCACCACACCACCTACTGAACACCCTCCACCTCTGGACTTTTGAAAAGATTTTAGAACTAGTTAAATCGCAAGGTCTCACAGAAAATCTTAGTCCCAAATATGATCCTAATTTTTAATAGATATCTTCAATATAGTTTTTAAATAAAAATTCTGAGCAAAATTTAAATAACCAAGAATGAAGACAAAAACAGAAGGTAGCCTGGGAAATCATTAACAAAATGTTTTTAATCACTTAAATTATTTCACACTTTAAGTTATTTAAATGGCATGCAACAACTTACCATATTCCTTTTCATTCACTTCAGATATGGGTTCAGAAATAACGCTGCAGAAGGAAATGGCACTTGCTGCAGAGGGATTCCGAGAATGCCCCATGTGGTGTGGTACTTTTTTCACATTCTTTAAGGCTTCCTCAGCCTGCTCTTGTTCCATCGCTGCAACCATATCTTTGTATGCTTTCCGGGCTTCCTCAGTGAGTTCTACTAACTTATTAAACAGACTCTAAAAGGAAAAAAAAAAAGGATCAGTCCTTTTTTTGTTATACTTTTTTTATTCCTATTATTAGCAATAAATTATCTCTACTGTTTGTTTCAAGGTCAGATATACTTTCAATCAGAACAAAATCCAAATGGTATTGAAGCCACAGAACCTTTTGGAACACTCTTCAACTTGCGCATATTGTTTATTAATTCTCACAAGTCTGAGGACATTTCTTGACTCTGTCATGAGCCACCAAATGTGGCATATTAGAAGTCTGTGCAAAGTTTGTCATTTCAACAAATACATCCCCCTTTGGTGTCTGGCACTACAGACTGCAGAGAGACAACTGCGCATCACCTTCGCTCTCCAGGAACCGTCTATGTGGCTATAACAAGAAGACAGGAGCAGTAATTCAAGAAAGAATGCTGTGGTAAATATCAGGGCTTTTAGATGAGACATTAAATCTAAACTGTTGAGTGTCACTGAGGAAACCATGAAGGAAGATGACATCTATTATAGGTCTTGAAAAATAGATACAAATGTGGGGCCGACAGGAGGCATGGTGAAGGCACTGGACTCCCACATGGCAGACCATGGTTCCTCACTGGGTCTCTCTCTCCTTTCTCTGTCTCTCTCTCTAGACAAATAAAAAATAAAAATAAAGTAATTCTTAAAAAAAAAAATAACGTAGGAACAATTTTGAAGATAGAGCATATTTAGCTAAACATGCAAAATCTCACATATAGGTATAAACACAAAAAAAGGACAAAGACCAGCTCAGTGGTGAAGAGGTAACACACTGTTCAAGTGATGCTGGATCCATATAGAAGAATGTAAGTCAGTTGTCTTGTTGCCTATAACCCTGGGCACACTCACCCATAATCCTGGTGGGCTGGAAAGCTTGAGCAAGGACTGAAATGTGAGTCTCACTGGGGGGTTTTGTCTCCCCACCTCTCTTGAGTCTGTCTCTCATTCTTGAGCTTAAAAAAAGTGCAAGGCTTATATGGGGAGAGCTGAAGAATCTTATTTGGGTCAGAATATAAGGAATTAAGTATATGTAGGGGCTGACCAGGGATGTAGAAGATGGCAACTGCCACAGGAAATAGAAGTTTTCTTGCTGGAAGAACATGAAGACCAAAAGGAAGTGGGTGATAGCATGGACAGGTAAGGCCTTGAGGATGATGAAAACACATGCTACTGTTTGAAAGTCCTCCAAAACTCCTGTGTTGAGATTCAGTGGTGACAGGATTAAGAACGTTTAAACTTACCCTTCTATAATGCTACAAACTGAGGCTTTTGGAAGGATTAGGATTAAGGTCATTAGGGTGGGAGGTAGGATTAAGGTCATTAGGGTGCTGCCCTGGCAAATGATTCCTGGTGGATTTATTGGGAGACGGAATGAGACCAGAACAAAGACACACAGACACAGATGTACATACTCCTCTCCTCCCCCATGTAGTGAGGCAGTCGATATACCCTCACCAGATGCAGCTCTGGACCCTGGACCTCAAACTGAGAGCAGAATAAACCTCTATCCTTATAAATGACCTAGACTCGGATACTTTCTGTTATTAGCAACAGGATGGACTATAACAATATGACACAAGAGACAAGAATGATTACTGAGCCAAAAGCAAATGATGAAACATAATAAAGTGCTTACAAGTAGAATCTTTAATAAACACTCATGTTTAACAAAGCAGAAAAATCCACATAGCATTAGGTATCATAGTTACTGAAGAACAACTATAATGCTATGTGAATTTTGTCATTTGCCAAAAAAATTTAAGTTTCCATAGATAACAGAATCATACAACAATGACTTAGTAAGGATTCCTATGTCATAATTCAACATATTTCTACTCCTATTAAATGTCCAAATTTAATACAACAAATCCACAACACAAAGAATTTTCACTGGTAAACATGACCTGGATATTTCTGATCAGCATGAAAGTTTTGACCTGATCTGTTTCCAACCTGGGTCGGTTCACCCCTCTCTTAGGCAACCTGGTGGTTCCCTGCTCCCAGGAAGACAAAGATGCTGATGTCATGGATGCAGAACTACTATGACAACTGGCTTAGGGATTCCATTTTCTGAAGGAAAATCTCCTCAAATTATTAGTGTTATTTTCCCTCTTGACTCCTAGTAACAAAAAATATACCCATCATAAACTGAAGACATTATTTTACACTGTTTAATACCGGATCTCTTTAACCTATAGTCAAATAAATCATTAAGTACTATATAGTTGAGCCTGAAAACAATACGTTGGCAGAAATAGAAACTAAACTCTTTTCAAAATGCTGTAGGACTGGAAACTATATTCTAAACCCCACCTTTTAGACTCCCCAAATACTCAGAGAAGTAGAGATTTTTGTCTCGGAATGATCAAAAACTACCGCAGAGGTACAAGAAATATGAGAAACCAAGAAAATCTCTCTCCCCTAAGAGAAAAGAACAATCTTTCATCATCCATAGACAGTACAGTAGAACTCGTGGAAATGTCCAACAGAGAATTCAGAATATTCATATTCAGTGACAAAACTAAATGAGATGCAAGAGCTGAGAGACAATGAACTTCAGAAGATGCAGGAGAAAAGAGACAATGAGTTCCAGGAGGTGAAGAAGTTCTTGCACTATCTGAAAGACAAAATACACATCATAAAAAAGAATCAAATGAGGCTGGTAGAGATAAAGACTGCAATATAGGAAATCGAAACCTCCTCGAAAGTATTAAAAGCAGATTAACCAAATCAGAAGATCAAATCTTGGATGTTGAAGGCAAAACCTCTGTCTGACCTAGAAAAAAGAACCAAAAGAACTGAGACAATAACCCAGAAAAATGAGACTATACGAGAAATACTAGATACCATTAAGTGCCCAAACATCCAGATAATCAGTATCCCAGAAGGTGAAGAAATTAACAAGGGCATTGATAATCTATTCCATGAAATCCTGGAAGAAAACTTTCCAACTCTAGAGAGGCATTCAAATATCCAATCCCAAGAAATACTAAGGACCCCTAATAGAATCAACCCGAGAAGTCCTCCAAAACTCCTGTGTTGAGATTCAGTGGTGACAGGATTAAGAACGTTTAAACTTACCCTTCTATAATGCTACAAACTGAGGCTTTTGGAAGGATTAGGATTAAGGTCATTAGGGTGGGAGGTAGGATTAAGGTCATTAGGGTGCTGCCCTGGCAAATGATTCCTGGTGGATTTATTGGGAGACGGAATGAGACCAGAACAAAGACACACAGACACAGATGTACATACTCCTCTCCTCCCCCATGTAGTGAGGCAGTCGATATACCCTCACCAGATGCAGCTCTGGACCCTGGACCTCAAACTGAGAGCAGAATAAACCTCTATCCTTATAAATGACCTAGACTCGGATACTTTCTGTTATTAGCAACAGGATGGACTATAACAATATGACACAAGAGACAAGAATGATTACTGAGCCAAAAGCAAATGATGAAACATAATAAAGTGCTTACAAGTAGAATCTTTAATAAACACTCATGTTTAACAAAGCAGAAAAATCCACATAGCATTAGGTATCATAGTTACTGAAGAACAACTATAATGCTATGTGAATTTTGTCATTTGCCAAAAAAATTTAAGTTTCCATAGATAACAGAATCATACAACAATGACTTAGTAAGGATTCCTATGTCATAATTCAACATATTTCTACTCCTATTAAATGTCCAAATTTAATACAACAAATCCACAACACAAAGAATTTTCACTGGTAAACATGACCTGGATATTTCTGATCAGCATGAAAGTTTTGACCTGATCTGTTTCCAACCTGGGTCGGTTCACCCCTCTCTTAGGCAACCTGGTGGTTCCCTGCTCCCAGGAAGACAAAGATGCTGATGTCATGGATGCAGAACTACTATGACAACTGGCTTAGGGATTCCATTTTCTGAAGGAAAATCTCCTCAAATTATTAGTGTTATTTTCCCTCTTGACTCCTAGTAACAAAAAATATACCCATCATAAACTGAAGACATTATTTTACACTGTTTAATACCGGATCTCTTTAACCTATAGTCAAATAAATCATTAAGTACTATATAGTTGAGCCTGAAAACAATACGTTGGCAGAAATAGAAACTAAACTCTTTTCAAAATGCTGTAGGACTGGAAACTATATTCTAAACCCCACCTTTTAGACTCCCCAAATACTCAGAGAAGTAGAGATTTTTGTCTCGGAATGATCAAAAACTACCGCAGAGGTACAAGAAATATGAGAAACCAAGAAAATCTCTCTCCCCTAAGAGAAAAGAACAATCTTTCATCATCCATAGACAGTACAGTAGAACTCGTGGAAATGTCCAACAGAGAATTCAGAATATTCATATTCAGTGACAAAACTAAATGAGATGCAAGAGCTGAGAGACAATGAACTTCAGAAGATGCAGGAGAAAAGAGACAATGAGTTCCAGGAGGTGAAGAAGTTCTTGCACTATCTGAAAGACAAAATACACATCATAAAAAAGAATCAAATGAGGCTGGTAGAGATAAAGACTGCAATATAGGAAATCGAAACCTCCTCGAAAGTATTAAAAGCAGATTAACCAAATCAGAAGATCAAATCTTGGATGTTGAAGGCAAAACCTCTGTCTGACCTAGAAAAAAGAACCAAAAGAACTGAGACAATAACCCAGAAAAATGAGACTATACGAGAAATACTAGATACCATTAAGTGCCCAAACATCCAGATAATCAGTATCCCAGAAGGTGAAGAAATTAACAAGGGCATTGATAATCTATTCCATGAAATCCTGGAAGAAAACTTTCCAACTCTAGAGAGGCATTCAAATATCCAATCCCAAGAAATACTAAGGACCCCTAATAGAATCAACCCGAGAAGATCTTCTCCCAGGCACATCATAGCCAGATTGGCAAAATCCATAAAGACAAAGACAAGATACTAAAATTGGCAAGAGAGAAACATTAGTTTACTTTATAAAGGTTATCCAGCTAACCTCAGACCTCTCATCAGATACAATGGAAGAAAGGAAAGAATGGGAAAATATATTCAAAGCATTAAGTGAAAAACAGTTTCAACCAAAAATATCATACCCAGCAAGATTATCCTTTACATGGAAAGAAAGGATAAAAACATTCTCAGGAAGACCTGAAAGAATTTGCCAAGAGCAGACCCACTCTTCAGGAAGCTCTGAAAGGAGTGCTCTACCAGGAAAACTAAAGACACTCCTTCAGAAGGAGAACAAAAAGCAACTGAGAAAATTATTAACTTAAAGCTAGGGACAAGAAATATCAGTAATAATGTTGAATGCTAACTTCCAGGACTGAAACAGAAAGATTGGACCGTAGTAACACCGCATATTCAACAGAAGATAGACTGAACATAGACTGAACTGGTGAAATAGAGTTTTATGACTTTTGAGTAAAACATTACTGATTTTTTTTTACTATGCTGTTTTCCCAATTTAAGGATTTTGCTTTCTTTTGAACTGTTGATAATTCACAATTTGTTAAATATTTTTACTTCTTGTTGCTTTAAATGGAAACAAACTTATCTTCCTTCCTGACCCCTCTGTAATTGGAAAGTATTTGGGAGTATTGTTACTTTGTGGCAGAAGGGTTATTTGCACAAGTTCAATAATGCCTGTTTCATTCATCAGAAATTGGAAATACTCATTATTGGACAGGTCTTTGACTGGAATGTCATATCTGAAAATTAACCTAAAAACTATGGAACTAAGGTAGATCTCAAGTAAGACAACAGAAGCTTTTGGAAAGATGGCCTGGCACCACAAACGGTCCAGAGACGATTAGAGAAGCCATATGAAAGAATCTGTACCATAAAATAACCTGGGCTTTTCTAGCCCAGCATTGTAATCAGTAGAGACTGCAAAAGAGCAGTCACAACCAGAGGATTACCTTGAGGAAGACTTAAAATAAAGAAAAAGAGACTGATCTTTGCTAGCAGATGGTAAACCACAGAATACTAGGTAGACAGAGCTGAGCTGGGAAGATTAATGTGTGAACTGTGTGCTGGGTGTTTGCCTCTCAACAGTGTGAGTAGTTGACATGTAAGTATTTTCTCAAAAATATTTAAGACCAGGGCCAGCAGTTAGCGTAATGGCTATGTCGCTGAACTCCCATGTAATCGACCACGGTTCAAGTCCTGGACCTGGTGGCTAAAATTCACGCCGGGAACATGTGCACGCATGCCCAAGATCCTGAAAGGAAAATGGAGGAGAAGGGATTGCGGCATGGCCACCCCCCTGGGGGGGTGATTTCTCGCTTTCTGTCTGTCTCTGTCTCTCTGGTGAGGGCCCCCGCCCACTAGCAAAAACCTCTCAAAAAAAAAAAAAAATTAAGATCATACTGTCACTGTATAGAGTCACAAACAAAATTGTATAACAACTATTTTGAACATTATCTTTAAAATTCAGGTTTTTTTTAATTTTGAAAGTTATCAACTGTCAAGAACTATGGAGTATAAGCAAAAATTTGTTGATATGTAAAGTAAATGTGGGAAAATGTAAAAAATTATAAATAAATGAGGAAAAATAGATTAAAAAAAAAAAAACTAATAGTCTGGCAGAGACTCAAACCCTAGAATAATACGGTAACTGATAACCATGAAGGAGGGACTCAGAAAAAAATAAATAAATAACAGACAAGAATGGAAAGTTACTGTGTGCAGTAGTAGCTTGGACTTGCTTGACATACAATGCATTTGCGCTCTGAGCACCCATATTACATGCTGTAAAAATGTACAATGATTAAATGTAAAAATAGAAAACAATGACCATTATCAGGGGAAAAAATGCTGTAGGATTAATCTATGTAAATGTTTTCATCACACAATGTTTTACTTTACAAAAGAGGAAATATAACACTCAGGAATTTTCTTCTCTTTCTTTGAGAGTAATCAACTTCAAATGCTTAAATACAACACTGGAATATGTCAACAGAAAATGTGCTATTTGGGGGATGTATGAAGGCACAAAAGTGTGCTTCTAAATTCTTACCTCAGCACCAAAGTAGTTGAAGATCCCTACTACACTAACAGGAACCAACTTGTTCACACAACGTCCTAGAGCTTTTCTTCCAAGGGCAAACACAAAAGGAATTTCCTGTTCCCGTGCCATTGCTATAACATTATAGAGAGCCTCGTCCAGGCCACCTGAAAAATCAATACATGCGTAGGTTTTTATTATTTCCTAAGTGGAGCTAATCTACCACCCAGGAGTTAATGCATAAAGCAGTACAGCAAAGAATTCTATGAGTGCTCTCAGCATTTACACCATTGCACACATTCTCCAGTTTGAAGTTATACTACACGTGTATATATACATATTTTCTTTCTTCCAATTAAATTCCTAATTCCATCAAACTTAGCATTTTTTCCCTCTATGTAGGGATAAGCATAACAGAAATCAAATTTTAATTCAACAGTTACCATAAATTCATTAAACTGTTAAGAGTGGTTGACTCCTTTTTGCAGTCTTTCCACTCAAGTGGTGACCTATTACAACACAATAAGACAGATAACACTGACTTGGTGAGTATTCCTCCCCTATGGCTGTGCCTACTGTACTACATGATGCAACTAGGTACTCTCATCACCTAAAGTAGCTTTTACCTCAAAAAGAACAAATAAAGGTAAGTGACATGGTACAAAGTACTTGCATGCTGTACCCAAGAGCCTTCGTATGTAACTGCTGGTTTCTGAGACAAATTTCCACCATAAACATGAGTGGAGATCTTTGAGGATGGGGATATCAGGAAGGTAATATAAAATTTTTAAAGCAGACTCTATTTGCAGAGGCAAAGAAATGCACTCTTGTCCCCATCCTGATCACAACAAAGGAGACACTTGGTGGCACTATCAAAATCCTAGTGAAGTGTTCACACATGGGAATTTCTTTACAATACAGTCTCAGCTGTACTATCATTTTTCGGGTATTGAAATATTTCATTTTTTCCCCTCATGGTCATTATTTGTTGTAGGTCTAAACTCTGCTGAGAAAGACACATGGCTTCTACTTTAGAATTCAGTGTATAGTCTACAATTATATTAAATAAATATCAAAATAGTCCAAAACCAAAATGTGCATACCTTTTGATTGGATTTTTTCACAGTTAGGAGAAATTATAACACACTTGATTTTATTTAACTTCATATGTTTGGTAACCTCCCTCAGACCCATAACCAGCCGTCTCCTCGCTTTTGCTCTTACAGGATCCTTTTGGTAAATGCGTTCCTGGAAACTTACAAGCTCTTGGAGGAGAAGAGTCACACATTCATCAATCTCTTTACAAAGAACCTGATTACAATACCTGCAAAGGAAACCAAAAATAGGTATTCTATCCTAATTTATTTTTCTGTAATTACAAAATTACATTAGGAAAATTGCTTTAAGAGGAAATATATCCAGTAAGAAGTTTTCAGAAAAGTCTTAAATATTTCTGAAACCCTTCAGTCAGTAAGAAAAGAGAAGAGTGCTATATTGCCTTTGTTTCTGAATTTCAACAGATTGCCCTTTATATAAAGAGTAAGTTAGTGGGCCAGCAGGTGGCGTGGAGGTTAAGGCAGCTGGATCCCACACAGCTGAATACGCAGTTTGAATCCCAGACCTACTGGTTTGAAAAATCACACTGGTGTGTGTTTATGCCCCAAATTCCGAGAGGAATAATGCGAAAAACAGAAAGTGTGGGGCCATTAAAGTACTTCACGTCTGTGATAAGGAAATCATCCCAGTATACTTTTTCCAATGTTTTTAGTTCTCTCATCTCTACCATAGCAGATGTTAATGAAAACTATAGTTTCTAATCTAGAAATAACCAGGCAAGCACATTTCTACCTCTAAATTACACTATGGAGTAGAAAAATCTATTCTACCCTTCTTTAGTACCAAAAACAAACAAACAAACAAAAATACTTTGGGAATTTTTTTATGCTTATGTGAAAAAAAGCTTAAGTAACTGCAAGTATGTTGCTATTTAAGAATGAGATAACTTGACAAAGAGGGGAGACTGTCAAACTATGCAAAATTAAAGAACAGAACACCAAAGTGTAGTTTTCGTCACTGTTTTTTCCTTAAAAGAAATAAGCTATTTATTTTATATACATGTAACATTTTATTCTCTAATGTTTAATTTTTTCCACATCTGTTATTTAACATTTAATTAACATCTCAAAGCCAGGCAAGAAATATTTTCTCAAAAACAGTGATATAAGGAAAAAGAATCCAACAAACCAATATGGTTTAGACTTAAAGACATTAAATTTTCACCCTGGGATTCTTTCATATCATTTTTAAAGATAAATTTACCTACACAAATGTTAAAAGTCCCAAATCCTTCACAGCATTAACTATTACAAAAAAAAAAAAAGAAAATTCCTTAAACTATTCAATCCAGTAATGAGTACAAAATAAAACTTACTCTCTAAACCTTTTGCTGTGGATTTTGGTTATTGTTGAAGATGCCATTGGACTGCCTATTCCAGAACTAGCAGGAGAGCCTTGTGACACAGGTGTCATACAATACGGAGAGTTCTGACTTGCTGGAGAGAGTGAAGTATCACTGGGCATGCTCAGGCCCGTATCTGTGGAGATGTGAGGTTTGAGAAAAGAATTTAGAAACTTCAAATGCCGGGGAGACCAACAGATGGCTTAGCAGTTACATCACTGGACTCCCACATGCTGGACCACAATTCGAGTCCTGGACCAGTGGCTGGAAACTCATGCAGAGCAAATGTATGTGCATGTCCAAGGAGAACGAAGAGAAGGGACTGCAGTGTGGCCATCCCCCCCCCGGGAGTGATTTCTCACTTTCCCTCTCTCCATGCCTGTCTCTCTTTCTCTGGCAAGCACATGAGCCCTAAGACAAAACGTCTTTAAAAAAAAAAAGAAGAAGAAGAAACTTCAGATGCTAAAAAGCTCTGTATTGATCAACACAACTTGAAATGGCAGTTGTCTTTTAGGTCACTTCCAAATTCTCTATAAGCTAACAAGCTGGGCATTTTTCATACCACAAACAAACAGTACTCATATACTACAAAAATGAGGTCTTCCTATAATCTATTAAAACATACTCTTGAAAATGAAGCACAGCTCACAAGTCTTCACAAAGGTAATGAGAGACTGTCAAATTATCTAAAACATGTGTTACTAGGGGATTTGACAAGGACCTGCATCTCTTCCCAGATCACATTACCCATCTTCTACATCTCTATTTTTCCAACTATTTCTGAGAAATCTTTTTTCCATGCCTACAATGTCCCACTGTTGATGACAATGACAACTGTCTCTTGTTCACGCCACGCCACTCCTGATTCTCCAGGCAATACCCCAGTTTCTCTCTCACTTGGACTCTTCTCTGTGCTCAGAAGTCACATTTCAGATGACATCTCTTCACTCTCCTGTCTCCTTCACTGATTACTGTGACTTTCTTAATTAGCTAAGTTCAGGAAATGAGTTCATATTTGTATAACTACTTCAATAATTAGCATAATTACAGATACATCTTCTTTTCTCTTTCCTGGATTGTAAGTTCTTTTTTTTTTTTTTTTTGGAGAGGTTTTTGCTATAGGGTGTGTGCGCTCGCCAGAAAGACAGACACAGAAAGTGAGAAATCACCCCCCGGGGAGATGGCCACGCCGCAATCCCTTCTCCTCCATTCTCCTCTTGGGATCTTGGGCACACACGCACAGGAACCCAGCCTGAGTTTAAGCCACTGGGTCTGGGACTCAAACCACAGTTGACTACATGGGACTCCAGCAACATAGCCATTAAGCCAACTGCTGGTCCCCTGGATTGTAAACTCTTCAATAGCAGAATCTGTCCACAATAATTTTAGTATGTTTTCTGACCTCTCCACTCCTATTCTTGTTACTAAAATACACATGGTAGATGCTCAATAAACATTCATGACTGGATGGATGGATATACCTAAATAAAAAAGGAATCATATTAAATTGAGAATAAAGGGAAAATCTTAGCCAAATATGTCCTAGCTAAAATAATTAGAAATAAACTCACTCTTCTAAAAACAGTGCAATACTGCTGCTTAATCTATACATAAATCAGATTTAAATGTGTTGAAAAAAGCTAAAAAATAAATGTCTACTGGGACATGTAGTTGACCATGGTTTGAGTCCCAGACCCAGTGGCTTGGACTCATGTTGGACACATGTGCATGCTTGCCCAAGGTCCCGAGAGGAGAATGGAGGAGAAGGGATTGTGGTGTGGCCATCCTCCCTGGGGGGTGATTTCTTGCTTTCTGTCTCTCTGTCTCTCTGTCTTTCTGGTGAGTGCATGCATCCTAGACCTCTCCAAAAAAAAAAAAAAAAAGTAAGAAAGTAAAAATAAAAAATTAAAAAATTAAAAATTAAAAAATGTCTACTGCTAAAACAAAACAAAACAAACCTTTGTTCTAGTTGGTGTAATTAGAAGAAACCTGAAGTTTTGCTGAGTTACCATCTGGAATCATATGTGATGACTACTTTGTATAGTTTATAATTCCCTATTCATCGTGGCATTTGTATTCATACCATGAAAGAAAATCAATAAAAATGACAAAAGAGGGAGTCAGCAGGTAGTGTGGTGGCTGGGATGCCAGACTGCCCATATGGCCGACTGTAGTTTGAGTCCAGGGCCTGGCACCTTGAGAATCATGCCCAGGTACGTGTGCATAACATGGCCAAAATCCCAGGAAGAGAATGGAGGAGAAGGAACTGCAGCATGGCTCCTGGGGAGGGGTGATTTCTCACTTTCCCTCTCACTTTCTCTGTCTCTCTCTCTCTGAGAAGCATACTTGCCCTATAGCAAAAACAAACAAACAAACAAAAACAAAAACAACCGTAAAAAAAGACTCAATAAAAAATAGCCCTACGCCAGAAAGACAGACACAGAAAGTGAGAAATCACCCCCCGGGGAGATGGCCACGCCGCAATCCCTTCTCCTCCATTCTCCTCTTGGGATCTTGGGCACACACGCACAGGAACCCAGCCTGAGTTTAAGCCACTGGGTCTGGGACTCAAACCACAGTTGACTACATGGGACTCCAGCAACATAGCCATTAAGCCAACTGCTGGTCCCCTGGATTGTAAACTCTTCAATAGCAGAATCTGTCCACAATAATTTTAGTATGTTTTCTGACCTCTCCACTCCTATTCTTGTTACTAAAATACACATGGTAGATGCTCAATAAACATTCATGACTGGATGGATGGATATACCTAAATAAAAAAGGAATCATATTAAATTGAGAATAAAGGGAAAATCTTAGCCAAATATGTCCTAGCTAAAATAATTAGAAATAAACTCACTCTTCTAAAAACAGTGCAATACTGCTGCTTAATCTATACATAAATCAGATTTAAATGTGTTGAAAAAAGCTAAAAAATAAATGTCTACTGGGACATG